CAAAACAAAAAAGGGACATTTTTCTTTTTGTAGTCAAAATAGTTTCTTAAAGGATTTTTTGGAAAAAATCCCCTCTGATGACAGAACAGTTTAAGCTTAAAAAATCTACACTGCCGGAACAAAGTATTGGCACAGCAAATTTTTCACAATATATGCAACAAAATTTTATTCTATTATTTTTCCGCTAATTTCGTATAAAAATATGGTCCATTCTTCAACAAAAAACATAAATATATAATTGCTAAACTTTGTGCAAAACTCGCGAAAATTCAGTGAATTTTCATGAAAATTTTCAACTTTTTACTCAGATTTTTTATGCAGAGTATGCAGATTTGTAGCCCAATCAATTTTATTATAATAATGTGCAAGTTTTAAGTAGCTCGGAATTACCGTTTGATTTTTTTAATTGTATCAACGGAATCATAATAATGAGATTTTTGATGCTGTTTTTTAACTTTTTTCAAAGATTTATTTAAGAAAAACTTGAAAACCTGCTCCAAAACTTTACCGATATAGACTTATAAGGTATCACAGGTATCATTTTCTCACTTTTTTGTTTCTTTGCAAAAAAAACTCATTCACGTCCCAATTTTTTTTTATTCAATACCAACATATCTTAATTAAACATGGAATGACATGACACTCGTTTATCTTACATACCTCCCTTTTTAACCGACTTCCAAAAAAGGAGGAGGTTATCAGTTCGTCGGAATATTTTTTTTTTATGTATGTTACCGCATAACTTTGGACCACGTCAACCGATTTCGATAATTCTTTTTGCATCGGAAAGGTAGTGTCTCAGATATACTAATATGGTTAAGATCCGATCAGTGGATCATGAGATATATATATATATATATTTTTTTTTATATGAGAGTTGAAGTCGGTTTTTTTGCTAAAAATTACTTGTTCATATTTTGAGTGAGCTTATTCGCAAAGAAATTAAAAGGGTGAGAAAATGCTACCCCATAAGTCTAAATGGTAAGGTTTTGTCTGAGTTATTTAAGTTTTTCTTAAACTAGTCTTTGAAAAAAGTGCAAAAACAGTCTCAAAAATCTCATTATTATGATTCCTTGGAATTTTTATTTTTTTATTTTTATGAAATCTTTTTAAGCTTAAACTACCCAGACATCTGAGGTAATTTTTTCAAAAAATATTAAAAAAAAACTATTTATTTGGTGGAAGTCTTAAAATATAATACATAGATTTTATAATTGCAGTGGAAAAACAGTACCGCTTTTTTTATGGGCAGTGATGCAGTCTACTGTACATAAGTTGGCTATGATTACTCGGCCGTGCTGTCATAGTAGCACAATGCCGCTAAGTTCATTTTAAAATTTTCAGGCAATAGCCTCATGCGATTATCGATTAAATTTTTTTGTTGTTTGTGTGAAATATTTTATTTTTATCAGTATTTTTCTTTTAATCAAAATAGGGGTATTCTCCAATTCTCGCAAAGCCATTGCACGTGACACGGATTGCATGGATAGCATAACTTGCAAACACACAACAACAAAATACATGGGAAACAACATTTCCTATCGCTGCAAAATATGCAACGTCGAAACCCATGTATATATTGTGCAAAATAGCTCAATAAGATAAATGCGACCCTATGCTACTTATTTTGTTGTTGGAATTGCTAAATATTTCTCTCATTCCTCTCATCTCACTCACTTAATTTTTTTGCTGTCTCTTATTGTATTTGATACATAATTTCGCTGCTTACTACCCATGCATGCTACACTTTGCGATGGGGTGCTCTCGTACTCTTCGAAATTTGGAATAGTATTTTTGCATTTCGTGCAATCCATGCATTGTGCAAGACTTAGAGAATACCCATAATATGTTGAAATAAAAGTGAAGACAAAAAATGTTGCCAGAACAGAATTTTTTTCATGCGTCTTTCTTCGTTAATATTTTTTTACACGTCTTTTTGTAAAAGTATTTTTCATATACATCTAAGGTTTTAAAATAGGATAAACACGGCCTATTTCCCAGGAGAATGGGATTTTTGGAGCTTTGAAATTGGCAAGACTTCATTGTACCACTGGAATTCCTCCCTCAATCGAGAGAATATATGGAGATGAAGGCTTTACACCAACGAAGGGCAGAGAGAGCTTTTACTCTGCACGCGCCTGTACAAATGTAAAGCAAGTTTAAGGGCCGGTTACTCAATGTCTGGTTAACACTAATCTGCGGTTAAACATCGTTATCGACGTCTTCGACTCCATGCATACAACAGGGAGTCGGTAACGTCGATAACTATGTTTAACCGGAGATTAACCGGCCCTAAAAGAGCTTTGCCCGCGGGCAAGGCAGTGCCCATAACCGCTTTACACCAACTACTCACAGGCGGTTTTTTTTACCCGAGCGCACTTGTGCACAAGTGCATTCAAACTTTGTTCGCATAACTGTTGTTTGGAACAGATAAAACGAATCGAGATAGATACAAACAATTGTATACATACATAACTGCTCAGAATGAAAAGAGAAGCCGATTTAGCCACACCGGTCCGTTCGTCTGTCCGTCTACACGATAACTCAAACAAAAATTTAAATATCTCAACGAAATTTGGTATGACGGTTTCCCTTCATCCAAGGTAGGTTGGTATTGAAAATGGACAAAATCGGACTGCAATCACACCCACTTCCCATATAACGGTATTTTCGAAAAATGCAAAAACTGCGATATTTCAGTAAATATTGGATCCAAATTGGTAAGTGAAGTAGAATTTCGGTACAAAATAAGGTCGTTATGAAGTTTCCGGAAAATGGGCGTGGCCCCGCCCGCTTATGATGAAATGCTGTGGGGGGGAAGAGGGGGTGAAATAACACAAACGCCAATAACGCAAATTTGTGTTATTTCCCAATTGAATGTGAAATAACACAAATTTGCTTTATTTCATTTCTCGTTGAGCAACAAGACCAACTTTTAAACTTAACAATTGAGAAATAAACAAAATAGTGCACATATGTAGGTAGTCACCCAGTTACATTTGACAAAAAGTAGTACATGAACAAGATAAATGGACGGATTTGTAAGTATAAAATTTTGAAAGTGCCCAGCGTCGCGGCGGTCCGCGTTCGCGCGCCGCACCGCGCCACCCCGCTCTTCTCCCTCATTTCGCAATTATGCACTGCTGTCATTATAACCGTTTAGAAAAAAGAATAATAATAAAATGACACTAGTTCACTTCTGAAACTGCTTTTTAATGTCCAAGTAATGGGAAATATTGCGTATGGTGTTATTGCATGCACCCCACCCATGGTGGAATTAAACCAGGTGAAGTAATATTGGAGTGAGAAGAAATATTTTGACACTGACTTATTTGAAAACATGCCTATAAAATGTGACTATAAAAGCGTGATTATGGCAACTTAACTTAACTTTACGGAACGTAGAACTCAGAGAATCAAAATGAAACAGATTTCGACGTGGCATTAAGTTACGTTAAGTTTCGGCTGTTCAATTATAAGCAACACCCATTTAACAGAATTTTTAAGAGAGAGCCGTAAGTTACGTTAAGTTGCCATAATCAGACCATAAGACAGCCGAATGTCAGAAAATAAAGCGAGAAAGCTGTTTTATTGCTTCACCTGTTTATTGCGCCATTCATCCCACCTGCTTGTACCGAGTATACGTTCAAATTTAGAAGTCTGAGAGTGGGTAAAATTTTACACATTTTTACATCACTGTTTTTGAAACATCGATAAGATCGGTTAAATTTTCGATGTTTGCCATCGATTTTTACAATTTACTAACATCGCGAAATTGACGATACATCGATGGAAGTCTTACCGATGTTTTAACCATCGAAGTAAGGAGCCTCTTCGACTTTCTTTCGGTATGTTTGACTGACCTTAAATTTATTATCCATTCAGAATTTTTTTGTTATTTATGGCCTTATAACAATAATATTCAACAATTTAATTGAGCTTGAGGCCGTTTCTTATGAAAAATGTTATTGAAAATCAACAATAATTTACAAAAGGTAGAAGTTATAGCTGCTACTTCGGAGATCACCACATCTCCTCAGTGACCGCGGTTGAAGAAGTCTGATTAGTAGATGTAGTGATCTCCCAAATAGCAGCTATAACTTCTTACCTTTGTAAATTATTGTTGCTTTTCCACAACATTTTTCATAAAAACGGCCCCAAGTTCAATAAAATTGTTGGATTCATTCTGAATCTAATAACCTAGCCGTTAAAACAGAACCAAACACCCCTTAGAATTTCAACAAGATCAGGCCTAGGATCTTTAGGCCCGAATGACCTTACGATGGTATGCATTTTGATTCTAATAATGGGGTATAGAAAGGATAATAAAATACAGGAAAATACATTCATAATTATTAAAGTATTCAATATTGCTTTAAATTTAACTAGATATTAACAAATTGCAAAACATCGGAAACCATCGATATATCGATGTTTCTCTGGCGATGTATTTTAGCCTCGATGTTGTTTTCTCCGATGCATCGAAACATCGATGTATCGATGTTACTGCTCAAAATTTGCATCCCTAATTATACCAGGTGAAGTAATTAGAGTAAGAAAACGATTTTGGCACTGCCTTATTTGAAAAATTGCCTTTCAAATTTCACTATAAAGCAGCCGAATGACAGAAAATAAAGCGGGAAAGCTGTTTTATTACTTCGCCCGTTTATTTCCTCATGGTTCCATGCAAACATTTTAAGGTTTCCCAGCAATGTTTTCAACATATTAAAAAGCATGCAGATAAAATTCATACAAAAGCGCTATGTCCAATTTGTTGAGCAGTTGTTAAAGACGACTCTTTTCTTTATTTTGTTAGACTTTTCATAAGTTACAATATTTTGTGAATATTACTTCCTTCATATGAATTATATCACATTTTTTGTTTAATTGTATTTTTGGAATAAACAAAGCTCTTTTCCCTTTTGGTCAGTAAACTGTTTTTGTTACAAATAGTATAAATAAGCAATGGAAAATAAGGCAAAACTCAGATTTTGGTATTATTTCCCATTTAAAAGTGAAATAAAGCAAATTTTGCGTTATTGCCGTTTGTGTTATTTCAACCCCCCCAAAGGCTGTATCTCATTGCTTTGAATAACCACGCCCACCTCTCATATAATGGTAAGAATCAATAACTTCTGAGGCTAATTCACTCAAAATCGACGCTTGCAATAACCTCTTAGCAGAAAATTAGACCAAAAACGTGTATCCCGGTAACAAATGTATCAATTTCTACCAAACTCGGAGGATTTAGTTACCTTGGTACGGAAGAGCAACATGTTGAAGATTTTTGAAATTGGACTAAAATTACACCCGCTTCCCATAAAACGGTAAACTTTGGAAATACGAAGACTCTGATATTTCAATATAACTGAGGACGCCAATTTACGCCGAGTTAATAGGTGCTTATAACAATCTCTTAATAAAAAAATAAGGCTGTTATAGGATTTTAGGAAATGGGCGTGCTACCACCCACACATTATTATAACTTGCAAATATTAAACCTCAGCAGAAAGTAATTCATATTTCATTTCAGATCCCAAAACACGGCATCTCATACAAAGGAAGTACAAATCTAAGCTGGTAAGTATGAAACTTGAATCTCTCATTTGAATATAACTAGCGTAAGGCAACAATTTTCAAAGCTACTTAGTAGAATGAAATCGAAAAGAATTTATTATCTATGGGTATACAATTAGGGAACTCACGAAATGTCGTAATGTCTTGAAGTTGTAAATTTTTTTGATGTGTAGGATGACGGAATAAAACCAAATACGTCCGCTCGGGTCGTCAAATATTTATGTACTTTTGTTCTGCCAATATCATATATTTGGCAATTCAAAAACACTTATTCGCTAACTTTCAACGAGTGGCATACGCCCTCTTGAACGTATACTTATTTACGTACATTAATCGGAATGAAACATAAAAGTTTACATTGGAAAATATTTTAAAATATGCATACACATTTAACATAACTGTATTTTCGTTAAAGCCAAAACAAGACAACATTGAAGAAAACTTCCCAGTCGGAAAAGGTAATGTTTGGGAATGCAAAAAGTAAAGGATGACCCCTATAACCTCTGCACGAAAAAATGCAAGAATTTCGTTGTCATTCGAAAGCAATGTGTCACATGTCCTTTTACAAAACGTCCGTGCCACAGGGTTTGACCTGTGACCAACCAGTTGGTAGTCAAACACGCATCTATTCTGCTACAGCATCTGTGATAATGTGAAAAGAAGACATACTTAAGTTAGCTCTAAAATTTTTGTTTTGCTTGTGGCTTCAAAACTACTCATTATCCGCTCGCTTACATTGCGATGCATCTTTTCGTTTAACCGTAGTTGTTAATCTTTTCTTGGTAGAAAAAGGTAATGAATTTCGTATGGTTGTACAAATGTTTAATTTTACAGGAGAAGCAAAAAGCATTATAAAAAATGTTACAAAAACAGGTAGGCCTTTTTGAAAAGTGGCATGCAACTCCGTTGTTTTTGGTAATAAGACTTTAAAATTTTTATTGAAGGCGTATTTTAAAATACATATCCTACCAAAATCTGTGAAAAACGCAGTTTCGAAAAAAATGTTGGTTAGGTAACATATCGAGCCCTAACCGCCAAAATAACGTAAGCGACATTATTTTTTCAAAGTTTTCTATTTGATGCAGAAATATTCCTAGAGCATCTAGATGATGTTATTTTGGCGGTTAGGGCTCGAAATGTCTAAACAAATGAAAATTGTATGTGTATTTCTTATTATTAAAAATGTCCAATGAAAAATATTTATTTTTTTTTGCTGGAATGACTATGTATTATTTTTGGGTAAATTATCTTCAGCGAAAGCTTTCGGCGACGCTGTTCTGATTGTCATTGTGCATATAATATGTTTGTATATTGTTTGCTTTTGTTCTGCCGCTATCAGCTTAAGACTATGTTCAAACAGGCACCAAATTGGCAATTAAGAACCTTTTCACAAATTTAAGCCTCAAATGTTACCCAAATTATCATACAATTAATAATTAATTGGCAATTAATTTGTGTCAGATTCTCTATGCAACCCTGTTTATAGTATGTTTAAATTTGACTATGTTCAAACTGGCCAATTAGCTGAGGCAATTAAGCTTTAAATTGCGGCATTGAGTTTGGTGTTCACACACACGTTAGCTGCGCAATTAGCGATACGAAAACAGCTACTGGATTACCTAAAGTGATGGAAAAGTTGGTACAATCATATGTTTATTGAACAAACATCAATCAGCTGTTTGTTTTTGGTCCTTTTTTACAGCTGATATTCCATCAGGGATGGAAAATTGAATTATAAAATTGTACCTAATTTACGGAAAACTTTACCTTAAATTAGATAGATGTACCTAAAAAGTAAATATGTATTTCTGTATAAAGAAAATAGGAGGATAACAATTCCCATCGATACCATATCAACTTCTGCACTCTCATTAAAGAAATTTGGGCTATGAAAAGAATCTCTTCGAGCAGCGCGAAACAAAACTATATTGGAGAAAAGGTGAATAACTTTCCTCCCAGTTCGTCGATCTGACGTTTTAAAAAGAAATATTTTCATCTATCTGGCGAAATCAACTACAGTTGCGTTCCTTTGACCACGCTTCTGTATCATTTGTATGCCCCTTCACAAAGGAGGGAAACTTTTAGACCAGTTGCCGTTGTCAATAAAAATAATAACTGATTTCCTGAGAAGTTATTTGGCTACCATCCAAATTTACATAAAATTGAGTGTTTGTGCCGAATGTGCTTTCAAACTAAATAAAGGTACGATTGTACCAACTTTTCCATCACTTTATGTAATCCAGCAGCTGATTTCGTATCGCTAATTGCGCAGCTGACGTGTGCGTGAACACCAAACTCAATGCCGCAATTTAAAGCTTAATTGCCTCAGCTAATTGACCTGTTTGAACATAGTCTAATGAATTAGCTTTGTACACGAGTACATCCATACATACAGACGATATGATAATGCGACTGTGTTATCGAACACGTATGTTGATAATTTGAAACACAGATTCTACATAACATCGCGCACAAGCACAAAATAATGCAGTACACAACAACACATACTTCTTCTTCTTCTCTTCTTTTTTGGCGCTGTAACCGCCTAAGCGATTTTGGCCGAGTTCAGCAAAGCACGCCAGTCGTTTGTCCTCTGTGCCAACTGACGCCAATAGGAAACGCCAAGTGAAGCCAAGTCCTTCTCCACCTGATCTTTCCATCGCAGTGGGGGCCTCCCTCTTCCTCTGCTACCACCAGCGGGTTCCGAGTTGAATACTTTCAGAGCTGGAGCGTCGGTGTCCATTCGAACGACATGACCAAGCCAGCGGAGCCGCTGTATTTTAATTCGCTGCACTATGTCCATATCGTTGTAAAGCTCATACAGCTCATCGTTCCATCGTCTGCGGTACTCGCCGTCGCCAACGCGTAAAGGACCGTAAATCTTCCGCAAAATCTTTCTCTCAAACACCCCAAGAGCCGCCTCATCGGATGTTGTCATTGTCCATGCTTCTGCGCCATATACCAGCACGGGCATGATGAGTGACTTATAGAGCGTGGTGTTCGTACGTCGAGAGAAGACTTTACTCCTGAATTGCCTACTCAGTCCAAAGTAGCACTTGTTGGCAAGAGTGATTCTACGTTGGATTTCAATGCTGACATTATTATCGGTGTTAATGCTGGTTCCCAAGTAAACGAAATTCTCTACTATCTCGAAATTGTAACTGTCAACAGTGACGTGGGTGCCAAGGCGCGAATGTGCTGACTGTTTGTTTGATGACAGGAGATACTTCGTCTTGTCCTCGTTTACCACCAGACCCATGCGCTTTGCTTCCCTATCCAACTTGGAAAAGGCAGAACAGACTTCGCGGATTTTGTTACCGATGATGTCGATGTCATCGGCATAAGCCAGCAATTGCACGCTCTTGTAGTAAATTGTTCCTGAGCGGTTCAGTTCTGCAGCTCTTATTATCTTCTCCAACATCAGATTAAAGAAGTCACATGAAAGGGAGTCACCGTTAAATTACGCTGAAATTGGTTTGGGGAATTTGCAGCGTAAAATACAAATAAATAATAAATATTTAACATCAGTTTTAAAAACATTTTGGCGTAGGCGAAAAGCACTAAAAATATTTTTAACTTTTACAACTTAAAGCCATTACGACCTTTACGATGCCTTGTGAACCCCCCCAAATATGTATAGTAAATTAATAATAAATTGTTTATGCGCATATATGCTTACTACTTAAATTAGATTCACAGCTAAAATACTTCATCAGAACTTTTTTCGTTCAAAAATATACATAGAAACACTATAAAAACTACTTTACTGACAACGTCTTAAAAGTGCAGGAAGAGTTTTCTTAGGTTCAAAATAATGTACGGCCAATTTTATTGGATATTTTTACGAAATAATATTCTTGATTACTGGACACATCTAAGTAAATCTAGTTGCCATTCAAGCTTTTTCAGTTCGAAGTAGTTAGTAAATATTTGTGTTGCAGGATAACACTTACATATATGTATAAACATTAGGGTGCCAATCGAAAATGCTTCTTTTGGAAGTTTCAGACCCTACCCCCTAATTTTATTCGTTTTTATGAGAATTATTATTGCCTATTTTTATAGATTTTATAAAGGTCATTTAGAGGTCGCGATCTGTCGGTTTAGGTAAATAGGATTTTGTAGATTTATTAGTTTTTGAATGGCTACTTTTGATTCGATTTCAAAGATCGAAAATTATCTGAGAAGAGGATATATGGGCCTTTAAAATGGTATATAATAATCTATTGTCAGACTAGACTTGTTGGGATTTTTTATCGGGTAAATTAAAAAATACCCGTATTATTAAATATAGAGGACTATCTAAAATTAAATCTACACTCTAAAAAATTTTTGTTTAAATTTGCGCATATTAAGATAGGTAACCAGTTTCCTCTCTTAATGAATGCAAATTTAAACACTGCTTGCTTACTTTTACTTATCATATGTGTGGCGTAGAACAAATTTCAAATTTGTTTTTTGAGTTTTAAACATTTATTGTTTGAATTTACGCATATAAAGAGAGGTAACCAGTTTCTGTGTGTGTTTACTTTTACATATAAAATTTGTCACGTAGCGCATACAAGGGGTGGGTTTTGGAGCTAAATTTATGATGATATAAGAAATTTTGAAAGAAAAAATTTTCCTTTCCATTTATTGTGCGTCATTTTGTAAGAATTCTTCTTTTTTTCTTGAGAGCTCTTTAAAGTTTAACTGCGAATGAAAACATTGTCCTAAAAATATGCAATGCATACTCACTTACTGATGCTTTTTACACTTTACAGCCTAAAAAAGTTTACCACTGATATATACTTAATATGCATTCGAAGATTTAATTTGCTAACTTCGAATTCGTTCCACCAAAATGAGCTACATGATAAAAATACAAGTTCAGTTAAATTTTCGTTATTCGAATTATTAAAAAATGAGAAACCAGAAATCGACGAAAATTAATAAAAAAGTGTAAAAATTTCGTGAAATTATTTAATTTATTTATATTAAAATTCTTTTGTAAAACTTTGTAT